CAATTCCGATGTCTTATGTATCGTATGCAATACAAATTTGATTTGAGGGTTGCTCATAGAGGCAAAAAAGACATAATTTCATCCTTTATAAAAATTTTAAATAATTTTTCGCCGAAGTCCGGATTTTGTCCGGATTTCTTGACTCCTTTGTCCTGAATTCCGAAGAACCTTTATGGAAACCCTAGTAAAGTAGTATGTTTCGCAGATGATACTGCCCTGTTAATTGCAGGGAATTCATGGCTTGATGCGTGCACGAAAGCAGAATTGGACTTACACAAGATAAAATGCTGGCTTGACTCAAATCAACTAACCTTAAATATTGATAAGACCAAATTTATAGCATTCTCCATGACCAAATGGGGCATGTCAAACAAAGATTTCCTAATCCTACGCGAGTCTTCATGTAAAGTTACTTTAGACTGCAATTGTCAATCAAAAATTCAATCCTGTGACAGCATAAAATACCTAGGTGTTTACTTTGACAGATTCTTAAAATGGAATGTACATGTTGACTATGTTAGTAAAAAAATCAGAAAATTGGTTTATAAATTTTCTCAATTTAGATATAGCTTATCTTCTCAATTAACAAAAATGGTCTATTATTCTTTGGCGGAGTCTGTTTTGAATTATGGTATTTTGTGTTGCGGCTCAGCTTGCGAATCAGTCCTGTTACCACTAAAAATAGCACAAAAATATGTACTAAAAATATTATTATTTAAACCTATGATGTATTCCACTGATCTACTGTTTTCTCAAACCGAATTCTTAAACTTGAGGCAACTTTATTGCGTTAGAGTCATACAGTTTTCTCTAAATTATAAATTGTTCCAAGATACAGTTAATCACTCGATACAACCTAGGGCGGTAACCGAAATAAAACTTTATACCTCCCTACAGAACTATTCAACCACTCAGAGAAATATTTTATTCACGGGACCCAGATTATTGAACTTGCTACCACACCACTTGATATTAAAAATAAACAAAACTTAACAAAAACAACAAAATATAAAATAAAAGACTGGTTTAAAATAAACTACACAGTCATAAAAAAATCAATAGTCTGGTTCTCCGAATGAAATAGTCTAGGAAAATAGACGAAAAATACATGTATTGCAAAAAAAAAATTCCTACCCAAATGAATTTTTCAGGGATGATAGGGGGCGGGTGGGTGATCACAAAACCGAAAATATCAAACATTCGCCCCTTTGGCGTTTTGCGCTATAGGGGTTGAAAGTGCGCGATTGGCGATTACTTGGTACCTGTTGATTTTATAAAAAAAGGTTTCAAATAAAAGATGTGTAATATTATTTGATCTACAATGTTTATATAAGGATTTTTTTTGATTAAGGGCTGTCTGTGGTCATTAGGGCCGTTTGAAATTTTATAATGAAAATGAAAAATTTTAACCAACGTGAAAAATTTTTCTACAACACATACAACATTTTTGCTTTATGAAATTTTTACTCACCCCCTGCCGTTTTTCAATAGGGGTAGTTTAAAGTTTATTTATTTTTTCACAAAAAAAAATTCCTTATAAAAGTTTTATAAGATTACATTTCCTACAATTTTTCCCAATCAACTTTTTTTGTAACTCACCCCCATTCAACGGGGGGACACTTCCCTTAGGGAAATTTTAGTTTTTAGGGGTATATATTAATTTTTTTTTCTTTTCTCGCCTTTAGAGCTATTAAAAAGGTGTAATTAACATTGTATTAAAAGGATTTTTTTTCCACCACCTTTTAGTTTTTAGGGGTAGTTCGCCTATTTTCAACTTTACAAAAAAAAGTTATAGAGAAAAGTTGCTCAAAATAATAAAATTAACAAGTTTTCTTAATAATTTTTTTTTGTAAAATTGAAAATAAGCGAACTACCCCTAAAAACAAAAAGGTGGTGAAAAAAAATCTTTTCAATACAATGTTAATTGTAACTTTCTATATGCACTAAAGGCGAGAAAAGAAAAAAAAAAATAATATATACCCCTAAAAACTAAAATTTCCCCGTGGCAAGTGTCCCCCCGCTGAATGGGGGTGAGTTACAGAAAAAGTTGATAAGGAAAAATTGTAGGAAATGTCATCTCATAAAACTTTTATTGAGGAAATTTTTTTTGTAAAAAAATAAAACTTTAAACTACCCCTATTGAAAAACGGCAGGGGGTGAGTAAAAACTTCATAGAGCAAAAATGTTGTATGAGTTGTAGAAAAATTTTTCACGTTGGTTAAAATTTTTAATTTTCATTATAAAATTTCAAACGGCCCTTATGACCACAGACGGCCCTTAATCAAAAAAGTCTTTAGATAAACGTTGTAGATCAAATAATGTTGCACATCTTTTATTTGAAACATTTTTTCGTAAAATCAATAGGTACCAAGTAATCGCCAATGGCGCACTTTCAACCCCTATAGCGCAAAACGCCAGAGGGGTGAATGTTTGATATTTTCGGTTTTATGATCACCCACCCTCCCCCTATCATCCCTGAAAAGTTCTTTTGGGTAGGATTTTTTTTTTTGAAAATCGACAATTTTCCCAGACTAAAAGTAAATATTTAGTAAATGGATACAATTGTTATTGCAAATATTTTTTTGTTTTTCATTTGTAAGCTTCTTTTTTGTATTAGAAATGTTAATTAGGATTTACTTATAATAATTATTATATATTAGAGTGAATGTCAAGCTAGGGATACACACAAATTCTTGAATTCATCGTATTCCTAGCTCTGCATTCTACAAATTGGCAACCAATGTAATGAAACTTAGTATCAATATAAACCTAAACCTAAACCTAATAAAGGGACTATAATCCCTGAAAATTTCAGCTCATTTGCACTTATAGTTCCTGAGATAAAATCGTGTTAAGCAAATTGGGGTGATTTATCAATTTTTCAATTTTTCTGAATGCCTTTTTTCAGAGACGATAGGTATTCCCTAAAATGACATTTTCACATGGAGAAATGTCAGTTTAAGGGATACTTATCGTTAAGGCTACCCTAAAATAGTTAGTGGAAATGGCCATAACTGAGATATGTAATTATTGTGATACTATTGACAAACTAAAATCAAATATTTTTCTTGACAGAATTTTAAGTACTGACATATCCACAGGTATTTATGTGTTATTAATGGGTATCAACCAATGACATTAACATATATTGCCTAGATATTTACAAGTACTGACATATATTACCGAGTATATTACCTACATAATTAACAAGTAGGTATTGCATAGTATTGACACTATTGACATATTATTTACCTGGTATTGACATATATTAACCAGTGATTTGTACACCGATTAACCAGGTGAAAAATCCCTCGCTTACAACCAAAGTTATGATTTTTTTTACTCATTAGTCATTGATAACTGAAAAAATCAAAAGATTCTTGTAAAATCATTTTTGAAGATTCCTAAAAAATACTTTTTTCTGCGATTGACAAGAAATGCCAGCATTTTTGACTGGTTGACAGGTCGCAAAACTCAATATTCTGGTATTTCAATTATGTTTCAATAGTTGCTAAGGAATCAATGAATAACAATACGGGATTTTCGTATTTCTGAATAATTGGAACTAAAAGACAAACATTTAACAGGTATTTAACTGATCGCAGAAAAAATAGTATGTGTATTTCGGTGGAAAAGTACATTCTCGGCCTTCGGTGTTTGTCAACTTACACCGTCGGCCGAGAATGTATCACTTTTCCACCTAAATACACAATATACTATTGAGCCATCTGAGCAATTTGAAACTTCCAGGAATTATCAGTTGGAGTTTTCTAATGACACAAAACAAGTTGGATGTTGAGATGAAACTCAAGGTCTCTGTCAAGACAAAACAAAAATTCTATTTGAGATTTTAAAGTAAGATACAACAAAAATGTGGTTTTTTCCATTAAACACCGCCCTTATCTTTATAAAGGAATTTTCCAAAGGAAACTAATTAAATTATTATTAGAAACTTTTACAAATTAATGCAGACCACACACCACTTTCGAAAAGCCCCAATAGCAATTAAAATAACCAACAACAATAATACTCCACTTTCGTTTTGTTCTAATAATAATTAAAATAACGACCAACACAAATTAATAATTAATGAGAACTTAACCAAAAATAAAAATTTTAACTAATGTATGTCGGCGACAGCCGTATTTGTATTGAGATTTTGTTTAAGAAGATAAACACTTTATTACTTTACCCTTTTAGTTCTTAGAATAAGTTCGGTAGTAGTAAGTAAATGTTTTCGGGGTGACTCAAAGGAAACCCATAAAATTATATTGGCTTGACAATAAAGTTTTATTTGCTGAAAGCTTGGGAACCACTCAACTCTCACAAGGGGGGTTGAGGAGAGCGGAACGGGACCAGGATGGTTTGGTCAGTTTTTGAGAGGACTTGAGTCAGCAGTCGAAAAGAGAACTGGTCCCGGATCGCTAGTTCCTATTCTCTATTTCATTTTTCTTTAAAAATCTTTTCTCGATTTTGATTTATGCCGATTAGTTAAATTTAAGTTAAATTAGTTCGTTATAGTTAGTCATTTAAATATCAGCCGCCGTGCTATCAAATTGTTTTCTCTCGGCATCATTGTAATAAACTTTTTCGCGTCTAATTCATTTGTTTCATTTTTTTTTTGCTTTTATTTAACGTCGGCAGTTACTAATAACTATGTCGGACGGTGACGCGTCAGCTTCTGCTTCTCCGACATGTATTTATTTATTAAAAGACAACTTCTTAGGAAAAGAGACCCATTGTGCTTTGCAAATTTAAATAGGACAAATAAAACTGTTATTTTTGCAAAGGCTAAGAAAGGATATGAAATAGGCCTTTATGGCTCTAGTAGTAACTTAAATGATGTGGTTCTAAGAAGGGTTTTGCAAATAGTGATTTATGGTGAATAATATGCAAATTTTTACCTGAAAAAATTATTTAGGGTCTAGATTCTTGGGAGTCAATAATTGAAAATAACCCATTAACTTTTGATTTGAAAAATACACAAACAAAATTCTTACTGTGGGTCGTCTTCTTTGGGTATCCGATAGCAAGGCGGCACCCTTTCTTCGTACTTCATTTTGGCCCTTTTGTTGCCCACCTCTTTCATTCGTTCCACCTGGGAATCTTCCCACTTGTCCAGTTTCAGGTGCTTCACTTTGCTGATGTGTACGCCCATGCTTCTGTGCACTCCCGAGCATCGTTCGCATATGAATATGCCCAAATTGTAGGAAGCATAGGCAGGATCTGGAGAGAAAAAAATCAAAAAAAATCAAGATTAAGTCAGTTTTAATTAAAAAGAAATCAGAAATTGTGTAAAATGTTGTTGCAAAATGCAATTTTACACTAATTTTGGACATTTTTCTGTTGATATTTCAATAGAAAAACTCAAAAGGCAGCAAATGTAGAACAATTTTTTTTGTTTTAAATGTATGGTTTTGGCTCTAAATGAAATCCTATTGTCCAGTTTCAGTTGCCAAAAATTTTGACACTGCAGTGTTGAAATCATACTGGCAATCTCTAGATTCTTATGAAATTTGAAGCTATCATGATTAAAGCTTTACAGAAAGTTCATCAACTGGATCAGAAGACTTTACAATTATGTGGAATTGTTATGTTAGGAACTGCATAAGTGTCAACAAATTGTTGTTCATAACAATTATAAGTCAAAGACCTACAAATCTACATCAGGAATACCTCAAGGGTCAAATTTGGGCCCACTGTTATTTATTATATTTATAAACAACATAGTGCAAACGGTTGAGCATTCAAAAATAGTCATTTTTGCGGATGATATTAAAATATATAGAAGCATAAGAAATATCAATGATTGTCAAAATCTACAAAGTGATTTGTGCAAAGTATATCAATGGTGTGTGGATAAAAAGTTAACAGTTAATGTATAAAAATGTTTTACAATGAAATTTACAGCGAAAAATAGACAAAATCAAGTACAAAAAAAATAGAACATGATTACTTTTCAAACAATATTAACCTGAAAGAGGAAAACTCAATTAGAGACCTTGGTGTTTTATATGACAGTTTTATTAGCTTTAATGATCACGTAGACAAAATAGTGGGTGAGACACTTAAAATTATAGGGTTTATCTGTTCTATACAAAAGATATAGGTATTTCTTCAGTCAAACTTTTGTATGATTTACTAGCTAGGACAAAGCTAGAATATGCATCAGTTGTATGGAACCCATGTTATCAGAGGTCATTCCATGCAATAGAAAATGGTCAAAAGAAATGTTTGAAAAGATTACACTTTAAGAGATTCAGTGTTTACCCAGTTGATGTACCATATGATGTGTTGTGTATCCAACATGGTTACAGTAGGTTAGGTGTAAGAAGAAAATATTTTAACTTAATGTTTTCGTATAAACTTCTTCATTATTATGTGGAAGCAAAGCTGGGCAAGCTACTTGGAAAAAGTAGCTAGCTACAAGTTACAAGCTACTTTATATTGTAAGTAGCTAAGTTACCCAGTAGCTCAACTACCTCTTCAAAAAAGTAGCTATTGGTAACTTAACTATACATATTGAATTAGTGAAAGCTACTATTTAAGCTACTTTTTTGAAAGTTAAATTAATAAAACCAAAAAAATTTGCACAATCGCCACCATCAATGTATGTACAGCCTATCAAAGATGCAAAAAAGTCAATTTTTAACTGTCAATATTTCCGAAACAGTTGAAGATAGGTATAGGACATGGACATGATACATGAAAATTGAAATATGTTCAGAATTCAACTCATGCGTTTTTAACTGAAAAAGGCACGAGTGCACGTAGTGCACTCGTGCTCTTTTTCAACTAAAAATGCATTCGGGCAAATTACCCAAAAATTATCAATAATTTCCATTGCACTAGTTATATTACTATTGATTATTGTTTATTGCAAACTGTAGGAAATCGAAAAAAAATCGTTACTTTTTTTTTATTTCGCCCAAATATGATTATTCCGGAAGTTATTCAAATATTAAGTTTTGTATATATAGATATACTGAGCATGGTGTGACGTCATAAGATATGAAAAATAAGCACATTTCAAAGCGTTGTATCTCCGTCAATTTTTGTTTAACAAGAAAAAGAAAAAACACGTGTTTACTTATTTTTCATGGACTATCGAAATCAGCAATAAAAAAAATTTGATGCAAGGGGCCCATTGCTGATTATACGATATCTCCTTACAGGGTGATACAAGAAAAAAAATTTAAATTACAAAGTTGTTTGATACTCTAATATGCATTAGTTAAAAATATTTTTGAATATACAGGGTGCTCCGTTTATAAGGTATGCGATAGAACTTTGTTATTTTAAATGAAACACCCTGTATATGATTGCATATTTGGATTCTACGTAAAATTCTGAGCAGATTTCATATAATATATCCTATACCTAAGTTCAACTGTTTTGGAAATATTGACAGTTGAAAATTGACTTTTTGTAACTTTGAAAGGCTATAAAACCTAAACGGTTAATTTTAGACGAAAACCGATTTTACAGTCCTATCTTAGATTTTTATAAACTATTATTTGACATCAACTTTGAATTTAATCCATGATTAAAAAGTCCAGGTAAATTTAATCTTCGGTTAAATTCAAAGTTGGTGTCAAATGATAGTGGGAAAGTGTGAGAGTGGGCCAGGATACTGGGCTATAAAATTTTTTAATCGTTCACCAAATAGTGTTAAGGATTTGGATATGAAGGATTTTAAAAGTAAAATGAAGCAAATTTTAATATGTTATTGTTTCTATTCATTTGCAGAGTTTTTAAATTTTGATTTTAATAATGTTTTGTCATAGTTATAGTATTTGAAATGTATCTTGTAACTTGTTATAATGTATTTAAGTACCTATGCATTACATTTATATTTTGATTTGACATGTGTAAATCGCTTTGTGATGTTGACATAAATAAATGATTGATTGATTGATAGTTTATGAAAATCTAAGACAGGAATGTAAAATCAGTTTTCCTCTAAAAGTCAATTTTCAACTGTCAATATTTCCAAAACAGTTGAACTTAGGTATAGGGCATAGGTATCACATGAAATCTGCTCAGAATTTTACGTAGAATCCAAATATGCAATCACACACAGGGTGTTTCATTTGAAATAACAAAGTTTTGTCGCATACAACATAAACGAAGCACCCTGTATATTCAAAAATATTTTTAACTAATGCATATTAGAGTATCAAACAACTTTGTAATTTAAATTTTTTTTCTTGCATCACCCTGTGAGGAGATATCTTTCGATATCGCACTAAGTGGACAACCTGTATAGTAGAATTGAGAAAGCTGGCAAATACATGTAATTTTCCTGTTTGAAGCTTTACGAGACCACTTTGTATGAGGTATTAAATCAGAACACATTCAGAAAACACTTCTAGCAGATGATAAATTGACCTTTACGACCGCTTGTCAAAAGGCTCAAAGCAGCGGAATTAGCTGAAAAACAGGTAAAAGACCTTAAATAAAGTACCAGTTGTAGTGATGTAAGCTGGATAAGAAAAAAATCTAAAAATTACAAAAATTCTACATTGCAAGCTAGCTCTTTCTCCTTTCTCAAAAAACTCTTGCAAACATTCTGGAAGAGTTCATGAAAAACATGGACAATGTCCTGCAAGTAACTGGAGATGTTTTTCGCGCGGTAAAATAGGACACGTCAAAGGACTTTGTCCAAAGAAAGGTAAGATGGGTTCTGTATAAGGAGAACAGCCATCAGGTGATATATTTTCGGAAGATAGTGATGCATCAGATGGTTTAAATGATGTTGAATGCGACGAAATCAATGAAGATCTGTACACACTTAATATTCATCAGATAGTCGAACCAGCATCATCACATAAAGTGTTTTTGTGCATGAATGGTGTCTCTGTTAATTTCGAAGTGGACACTGGTGCGTGCAAAACTGTGATGTCATCCGGAAAATTTGATGAAATTTTGGGATATCCCCTAAATCCTGTTCTCTATTTGTGTGATAGAGTTCAAACAGTGTCATTTAATGGTGAAAATTCTCGGGAAGGGAAGATCAATGCTGGTGTTCCGCAGGGCTCTGTTCTTGGCCCCTTACTGTTTTTACTATATGTCAACGATCTGCCACATGTTCCTATAAAGGGGGCCTTTACTATGTTTGCTGATGACACAACTATTTTGTGGCATGGTGTAGATCTGGCAGCGTTAACCAGCAGCATTTCTCACGATCTGTTGGAAGTTAAGAATTGGTGTGATTCTAATTTTCTAAGTTTTAATGCAACAAAAACAAGCATCCTATCTTTTAAATGTGTTGTTCAGGGTATTTCTATGGATGCTTTACCACTCCCAACTCTTGAATTTAACCGATTTCTGGGCCTAACCATTGACAGTTCCTTGTGGTTTGAGGAACATATATCTAAGGTATGTAAAAAAATTTCTTCTGGATGTTATGCCCTTAAGGTAATAAGGCACAATTTAGGTTTCGCTATGGCCAGAAATTCGTACTATGCTATAATAGAACCCCATCTTCGCTTATTTACCTCAGTATTTTTACTGCAAAAGAGAGCAATTCGTTATCTCTGTGCTGCAAAAGTCCACGACTCCTGCCGTGGTTTATTTGGCCAGTGTGGAATATTAACCCTTTGCTCACTGTTCATCCTGGAGACTGTAACTTTAATTTTAAAAAAATATAGGAATGAACTTAACCACATTGGACCATATCCGACCCGTCATCCTTTCTCATTGAATCTTCCAATACCTCACTCTCAACTTGTTAAAAGGTCTTTTTTATATGAGGGCAGAAAACTTTTTAACCATCTGCCCACAGAGGTTAGGAGGATTAATTGCTTAAAAAAATTCAGAAGAGCAGTAAAAAGGGTATTAGCACCTGGGGCATATTATACTTTGGCTGAATTTTATGAGACTGTTCTTGACTGATATATAGTATAGTGTGTTTTCTGTCTGGATATTTGCAGTTTATTGATTTTGTCCATTTATATGCATGTATATTGTAGGTCTTCTTTATGTATTATTATTAAACTTTATGTTGTATTGATTAAGTTTTATTGACTAGTGTTTCAATTTTAACCTGCATTGTTAATTTATTATTATTTATGTCTTGTATTTAACTACTATTTTTTTTTTTTTTTTGTTCTCTTTTACCAAGGCTTTGTAACAACTAAGGTTTATACAATAAAGCTATTTTTGACTGACTGACTTGACTTATAAGTTAAGAGCAGTTCAGGTAAGGAAATCAAGGCCCGTGG